AAGGGCTTGGAAGGAAAATCACACAAGGAGAGGCCAAAGGAGTTAGGAATCATCAGCTTATGGAAAAGGTGCTTAAGAGGGGGCATGATATCATTCTTCAAATACTTGAAGGGCTGCCATAAAGAAGAGGGAAAACACCTTTTCTCTTGCTACAGAGAGGAGGCGGCAGACCAATGGTTTAAGTTGCAGCAAAGTAAATTTAGATTGGATATCTGGAAAAAAAACGTTGTCATTGTAAGAATAGTGAGGCAGTGGAATAAATGCACAGGAAAGCAGTGGACTCACCATCATTGGAGGTGTTCAAGAGGAGGCTGGTTGGGGATTATGTAAGTATAGCCATGCCTATATTCTACCATGGATATTTCCCATGCTTCTGGGCTTTATTCATTGCATCCCCCCAACACACACACTTTTATCTGCTGTGTGTGTCAAGATGTTGTTAAGCCTTCCAGAGTCATTGGGTGTTGGCTACAGCCAAGGCTGGGAACTTCAGCTGGGGTGTGCTGATTCTCCTGCTAGCAACAAAGCCAAAGGTTCCTGGCTAGCGAGTCTTGCCCCTCCACTCAGGGTCACACCATTTGCCATATTTAGGGTCAGAAAGGAATTTTACCCCATGATCAAATTGGTACAGACTGTGGGGTTTTCCCTTTCTTCTGTAACAGGGAGCGTGGCTCTCTACCTGGGATCTCTTGACCACAACATTTCATAGAAGCAGGACGTTGACTGCCATGGTGCCCCTGCTTTACCTGTGGCAGGTCAGGGTGTTGGGTCTATGTTGTGTCATGGTTGAGGGTCATCTTGTGTTGAGTGCAGGTGATGGTTTGTATGGGATGGTTGGGATAGGGATGATCCTGCCTCAGTCAGGGCCTTGGACTAGATGATCTCTGGAGGTCCCTTCCAGCCCTGCTTCTCTATAGCTGCATTTTTTTAAATCCATACACATCCCAGGTTTATACCAAGTATTCTGGAAAGAAGAGCATTGTCTACTCTGAAAAATGGTTTTCCTCTTAAATATATAGGATCCCATAGCAAGTTTGTGTAGCCCAGTAGTCTGCTGAAAACAGCCAGTCACCCAAGCAATATTTTAACTCCACACATATACAGGAAGGTGTGTAGTACCAAAGTGGATGAAACCAATGGTCTCTGGCCTAACATCCTGGTCTGGCAGTGACCACCACCAGGTGCTTCAAGGAGAAGGTGGAGAAAAAATAGTACTAGGTAATAACAACATGACTTGTTCTTAGGTGAACATTTTGTCTTCCTCCCATTTCCCTCCATCAGATAAGGACTGGCTTATCCCTTGGAATATGACACTTGCTGTCACATATAACATATTAAAAACTAGCCCAGGTACAGAACCTTGGAGTCCGTCCACTCTTGATTAATCAGCCACTCGTTCCCACTCCTTGTTTTCTGTCCTTTAGCTAGTTCCTGAGTCATGCCAGCAATTTTTAATCTCGGGCTAGGGCTCTTGAGCTCCTTATCGGTCTCTTATGAGGGACTTTGCCTCAGAAGTCATTACCCAAGGATTTATAAAAACAATAATCCAAGAGTTTCACAGAGTTTAAAGGTTTCTGTTCTTGACAACTGCTTCTTAATTCCACTTTGCAGGGATTTGTACACTCCTGGTATGCTTGGGGTTTCAAGGAGCACAAGCTCAGCTAAAACCACCATCATTTTGCCCATTGGCTCCTAACTAAAAAAAACACCAAACAAAAAACACACACTCTGGAAATGAGTTCCCATTCACGCAAAACATCCACCAATAAAAGAAAGAGCCCGTCAGTAGGAATTGGGGATATCCCAAAGTGTACAGCACAGATCAAGAAGAGCTTAGGTTTAGAGAGCTGAACACCTGCAAATCTAGTTCTCTCTCTGAGCTCATCTCTACTGGCAGGTAGCAATGCCAAGAACGGATTCTCCAGAGCTTCCCTGGCTTGCTTGGGAGATATACCTCAAGGTTTGGGCATCTATCAGATCGTGCATCTTATCTATACTATTTTGCAAATCCCTAAGATGAACATCCCACAATATTTCCCATAGCTTCTGGGCCAGCAAAACTCTAAGACAAGTCTCACAAGTTGGCACCAACTGACATGGCTCCGTTGATCTTAAGCAGGGAACATGGCCCTGCGTCTCAGCATCTCAGCATTTCTGCTTCCAGTTCCAGCTGGAAATGCAGATGATAGATATGCAAACAGCGCAGCCACTGCTCTAATCCCTCAGATTTTGCCTACCCAAATAAGACGGGCCCCATACCCAAACCAGCCTGGTTCCAGCTGCACCCAAGAAAGAAAAATAAAACACCCCCGGTTTGGCCCATTTCAGGACAGAGAATATGAAAAAAAAGATGGGGGAATGATTGGGTGGGGAGCTCAGCTGAGACAGCTCAGCTCAACTCAGGGCCCTCATTAAAATGGGGTGGGGGTAGGAATTCAGGCTCTGCCTTATTTTGGACATGCCCATTCACCCATATTCCTGCCTGCACCTCCCCAGAGCAGCCCAGTTACAGGAGAGCGACTTTCAGCCACATCAGAGCTTCAAAGGTATTAGTCACTTGTGGTTTTACCAGTTGGCACATCCTGTGCTAAGACCAAATAAACTGTTGACGGGGGCCAGCCCAGCAGGCATATAAGAGAGTGGACTCCCATTGGCTGCTGTCCGCAGAGCTAATGAGCCTCTCTGCTCGGTAATTAATATAATGACAATAATATTCCAAAAGTAAACAAAGGAAGAGAAAAAAAAATCAATGTGCTGGGAGAGCACGAGCTTCACTCTCCTGCTGGCAGCCCTGGCAGCCTGCGGTAGCTCTTCTGGCTTTTGGAACAGCTTGTGCGGGTCCAGAGGTGAACGCCGTTCATCTGCTGGAGACTCGCCTGGCTTGGAGGATGTAAGAGAGACCTCAACAGGAGTCGTTCGCACCCTGCGGACATCATTCACCTGCTTGGAGGTAAGGACATTTCAGGGAGCCCTGCCTGGGTGTAGGCTGCTCTTCAACTTCTCCTTGCATGAGGGCTGGGTGGAGTAGTATGGGCTCTGGTGCTGCACAGGGAGTATGGGCTCATTACTGGGGCAGCCTTATCAGACAAATCTGGGACCTGCAATTAGAGGGATTCATTTTCATATTCTTCTTTTGCCCGTCACTCTCATGACCCATCCCTCCTTCTCCCTCGGGAGCGAGGGGCTCTGCTTACCGCCATAAAATTACCACCACACCACTAAAATTAGGCAGATTCTCTTCTGGCGATTGAGGCAATGGGCTAGGATCGTAGCCACCCCAAGCAAGGTTTGGTTTATCGCCACACAAGAATGCATGGGGGAAGAAAATCCAGGATTTTTACCACCCAAAGAGAACACGGGACTCCTCCTAAAGCCCCAGGTGGCTCGCATTCAGAAGGGCATTCACCTGATGAGGTGGCACCTTTTGTAAAGGGATCTGTCTTTACTCAGCATATCAGAGCAATCCCAGACAGCTACTTGAGCAGCTGTAGATGGCGTGACCAAATCAGCCCCACTCCATGTGTGAAATAGAGCTCCAACGAATATTGTACCAGTAACAACGTCTGGTTGGGACGTCGTACCTGCTTGGCAAAAGGCCTTTTCCTTAACCCTCAAGGGTTGAAGAGGTCCTCAGATCTCAGTTAAAGAGTGTTTTAATGAGGTGTCCTCTATTAGAAAGCCTGTTTCTCTCTGTATCAGGGAATTGATCTAATGGAGAACTGGAAAACTTTGAATTTTGGGGGTGGTGTTGAGCCCACCTCTCTTCAAACTCCACTGCATCCTGGGGATACATCCCAGGCAGTTATTCTGCACTGTCCAACTGTCCTTCAAACGGAGAAAGAAAAGGTGATGCAGCCTACATACTGCTCTTGATACATGCCTCTGGGGCAGGATCTCCTGCTCGCACTTGGTGCTACCCTAGGCAAGATCCTACATTTACCGTGCAGCTCTGATTGTTGCAAATCCAATCCATTGTCCCCTGCATCCACTTACAATAAGAGTGCACTAACTGTTAGTAGAGATGGGCCTGAACAGAAAGTCCCAAAACCTAAGAAAAGTTTTGATCTAGTTCTTGACGTAGTAGCGGAGGGAAAGGAACAAGCTGAAAAACTGGGTCCCAAGCTGCACTTGGGAGATCAGGGTCTGAATGCTGCTCTGATCTTTGGTACTCCCTGCCCCAGCACCTCCAGGGCCTTTAACCAACAACTACACTTCAGTAAAATCCCCTAATCCAGAAACATGGGGCTGGTATTCCTTTCTTGTTGTGCCTACTTCCTTCAGAGGGGTCCCTTTATCCTGCTTTAAGCATGCAACTGTTCTCCTATCAAGAAGTTGTAATGAGGGCACAAATCCTCTTTAATAAAACTGAGGACAAGACTGAGCTCACAGTTTCTCCCAGCACATGTGAGGGTCCCCTGGAGGTGCCACAATGCGCCAAAGGACAAGGATCATGCAGGCAGGTTGCAGAAGGAATATGAAACACATGTTTTTGCCTAGACATGATCTTTCCACCTCTTTTAGGCTGAGCCTTGTATCACTGTGGGATCTGTGCTGAGACCATTGCTTTTAATTCCTTATCTCACAGCTGAGAGGCTCTGGCAGCAAGCACTCTCCTTCCTCTTCCATCTGTGTGCTGGAGAAGGAAGGCGAGACCATCCTGCAAGCTACAGGTGCAAGGCATGAGCCCTAAAGGAATCAAGTGGCCACTTGGCTTTTGCTTGTGCTCCAAGTGGCTCCTGCAGCACATTTGGAGTAGATGAAACCAGAAGCTGAGCTGAGACCAAACTCATCTCCCAGGCAGTTCATCTCCAGGGTGTGACCAAGTGGCAAAGGCTCAGCAGTAGCAATACAACTTTCTCCCTACACCTGTGCTCTGATTGCCCTCCTTTTCTTTAAAGGTACAGGGTAATCCCAAGCAAACTGGTTCCATGCAAAGTTGCTGCAGCTGCTGGGACGTGGCTGGTAAAGAAACTGCGAGACTGAGGCACCCCCACCCAGCCATGGAGGGCGAGGAATCAGCCTCAGCATACCCAGAAGCCTACAAGATCCACTACGAGAAGTCTTGGCTGCACAGACACTGCTCCTCCCTGCTGCAGAGGGACAGGCAGGCCCAGAAAGCCGGGCAGCTCTTCTCAGGGCTGCTGGCCATGAACGTGGTGTTCCTGGGCAGCGCCTTCCTGAGCAGCATGATTTTCAACAGGGTGACCATTACCCTGGGAGACGTCAGGATCTTCCTCTGCATCCTCAAAGTCCTGTCTCTGTGCTGGGTAATGTACTATCTGCTGGGCACCACCAGAAAGCCCCATGCGGTGCTGTACAGGGACATCCACGCCGGGCCAGTCTGGGTGCAGGGTAAGTGCGTCTGCACCTCTTGCCTTTCGGCCAGGTTGGCCAACCTGTAGCATGCAAGCCACAGCTGGCCTGGGCAACCTCTGTGTGGCACACAGCAGACTGGGGAGGGGACAGGCAGGAGTGACAGATAGGGCAGGGAGCAGAAAACTGAGCAGCAGATCAGGTAAGGGAAAGGGATCCAAGTGGCATTTGGGGAGCGTGTGGGGCTAATTGGTGGCATGCCTATCAAAAAAAAAGCTTGGCCCTCAGCTGCTTCAAACCCAGAGCACTTTGTCTGTAAGGAGGTATTCCCCCCACCACCAAGAGGCTGCCACCGCTGGCATAGCAATGCCATGGGAAGCATTGGCTAGTGGTTATCGGCAGTGAGCCCCTGTAGTGACCTTAGACAAGGTTTTTCATATCCTTCATGTCTTATCTTCCCTGTCAATGGCTGTGGAAATACGCAGTGCCTCTCTTACAAGGATGTTGCAAGGCTTCAGTGCCATCATGCAACAAACCATGACAAAGCAAGGCAAGGGCTGGTGTTTCTGGGCAGCTGTGACCAGTTACACAGGTGCTGGCTTTGACCTAGTCCTGTCATCCAAGGGAAGATTTTTGCCCATTGAGTCACCTCCCTGCAGCATCCAGCCTTTCCCTGCAAAATCTCCGCCCAGCCCTGTTAAGTCATGAAGTGACACCTCTACATTGCTCTGCCCCTGGTTTTTTAGGAAGTTGTCATTAGGAACACAAGGGACAGAGGGCCTGATTGGTCAAAGGGATTTGGGGACTTCAAAGTGCAGGCAGAGAGGTTTTCAGAGCCACCTAAACAGGTTTGTCCCCTAGTTCCTATGGATTGCTTGGGGCAGGGACGGATCTAGAGAGGGTGCCATGAAACTGTTGCACCCTCCTCCCCTTTGGTTGTGCTACATAGGCGCTCTTAACACGGGGTCTGGCTGGAGCCCCTGCTTTTGCCCTGCTCTGAAGGGGTGAGCACTGCTGCTGCTCATCCCCTTCCTTTCCCCTGATACCAAATCCAGCAGGGAGGCAGGGAAGGGAAGGGCAAACAACAGCAGTGCTCACCCCCTGGGCTTCAGAACAAGGCAAAAGCAGGGGCCCTAGTCTGCCCCCTCTCTGATCAGCTGGTGAGCTCAGAGCTCACTTTGCAAATGTGACAGTCCAAGGTTGGGGGGGCATACACCCCTTCCCCATTCCTGGATCCTCTACCGCTTTGGAGGCTCCTGAAAATCCCACTATGCACCTATCTGCCTAAATACCTTTGACAAATCCAGTCCCAGAGAGAGCTAACAGGACAAGATTGCAGCAATCACCCCTCACAGTTCATCTCTGCCACTGTTTCCAGTGCAAAACATGAGCTGGAATTTCCCCTTGCCCTGCCCTCCCCAGACACACACGTGAACACGCTCACACACACACCCACACACACGCCCCGCTCCCCTGATAAGAAGTGAACGCAGCAGCATCGTTCAAGGAACTGCACTAGAAAGACCCACTTTGTGTTGATCATTTGAGTGTGGCAAAAAGGGCATAATTCATTCTCCCCTCCCTTCAAAACAGTCACTAGCTTCCCAAATGTTCCCAGATTTGGGTGATCCCAAATCCAAACTCTGACATCAGGCCCATCCCTGAAGTGCCAAAGCCACCCATCCTTTTTCAGTCACACCAAGCACAAGAACAACCACCTACTCTGGACACGTTCAAAAAACATTTGGACTTTTATCTTGCTGGGATCTTTTGACCCTAGCAGACTTCCTGCCCCTGGGGCAGGGGGCTGGACCCAATGGTCTTGCAAGGTCCCTTCCAGCCCAAATGTCTATGAAACTATGAAATTATCTATGAAACAAAAGGTTTGGGTGGTGTCTACAAACCCTTTTGCCAGGGACGGGTCTTCATTCGTTTGCTTACTGATGATTTGTGCTGTTTGGACAGTGTCTCTAGTGATGTTCGGCGCTTTCAGCCTTCTCCTGAACGTGTTTCACATCGGTTACATCATCAGCCACATACAGTGCAAATCCTACCTCGAGATCCTGTTCCCATGCATAGACATCCTCTTCCTCACCCTCCAGGTACTGAGCATGGTCTTCTCCAGTATCCAAGTCATTTGTTCTACTGCATGGATGGGTGGTGGGGCTTCAAGAGAGACTGGAGTTAGGATGCATGTAGGTAATTCTTATTAACAAACAACACTGGTTGGTTTAAATCCTAACCACATACAGTGCAGCTTCATTGGAGTGAGCCCACGGGACCAGGAGAAAAGTTGATCAAAGGAGGGTGTTCGCTCTAAGAGGGTTACGTCCATTAGTTGCAGCATCATAATGGAAAAATTGGTCTTTGCTATTGGGATTCTTGGCCCTTGCTATTATAATGAGGCTCTACTGTGCATTGCTAAAATGTCTGGCACAAACCAGGCTCAAAGAAATAAAAGGAAAAGGAAATGGCTACTTTGAAAAAATAAGGCTGAGAGGCCTGAGGAAGGGTACAGTGATACCCTGTGAAACCTTGCCTGCATGTAGCCCAGGTGTGCAGCTGATCCAATAAAGGAAAGAGCCCACAAGAATTCGTAAACCTTTCAAGGACATGCCCCAGCCTCATTCAGAGTGTCAGAAAGGAAAGACGGGAATAAGTGGGAATCTGGGGTATTAACGTCAGTGCCCAGGCAACTGCCTTTACCAGAGGTGTAAGAAGCTTTGTGTCCTGGTTAGTGGTGGTCCCCTCTAATCATAGAAAATTCAGGTTGGAAGGGACCTCATGAGATCTATTCCAGTCCCCGGCTCAAAGCTGGACCATCCCTAACTAGATCATCGCAGCCAAGGCTTTGTCTAGCCGGATCTTTAAAACATCCAAGGCTGGAGCTTCCACCACCTCTCTGGGTAACCTGCTCCAGTGCTTTACTACCCTCCTAGTGAGAAAGTTTTTCCTAATATCTAACCATGGTAAGACTCATCACCCAGGGCTATTGCCCCACTCGCCCACCCTTAGTCATGCTACTGGTCATTGCACCAGTCTCTTTTCCAAAAATCAGGCCTCTGTCTCTGCTGGCACTAACCAGATCCCAAGAACAAACTCAGTTGCATGCTTACATGACTTATGCACAGTTTGCAACCAGAAATTCTGGCATTTCTGACCTAAAACTACTTGAAAAAATTCACCTCATCCTCTCTCACAGAAATAGCCTCTCTCCAGCCACTCTCAGGGAAATGTGGTTGCAAATGCCCCTCTCATAGAATTAGAGTTGTGCATGTACCCACACAATACACATGCAGCCATTCCTGAATCTATGCACACACAGCCACATGCCTTCCCCGCTCAGACGCACCTCCACACTTAACGGGCTTAGGTTAATGTTATTGTATCTATTGATTTCAGACTTACCTGTTATGGCACCACTCCAAGGACTGTATCCAAGTCCAGCACAACCTCACCAGGTACGAACAGAGAAAGGAGGGGCTTTCTTCCCACCCTCTCCTTTTTTTAACCACCCTTGTATCACACTGGTTGCCATCCTTTCTGTCCCTACCAGACCTTTCTTCAACAGACCTACTCAGACTCTTTGTACTCTGCAACTTTAAAGAATTTTGTTTTTGTAAAGTGAGAGGGGTGATATATTTGAAGGCAAATCGGACCCTTGTGTTGCTCTTCCCTCTTTCTAATGGGCCTTAATTGGGATTTTCCTTCCAAGTCATCTTCTCCTATGGTCTTCAAAGCTGTTTAGCCCCAACCTATTTGAACATAACCCTGCCTGTGGTTCACTGGAGTTTCCTCAGTGAAGTATAATGGTCTGCTCAAGGTAGACAGAAGATTGCAGATTGCAGTAGAAAAGATTAACCTCATGTATTGAGAAAAAATAAAGAGACCTACACATTGGAACAAACATCCATTCCAGCAGGGGTGGGAGAATTCAACAGGATTATTGGCATGTACACTGGCTGGGAGATTAATATTTAAAGAGTGAAAAAACGGCATGAATTCCACCTCGGGAATCTTCCTACTGCACATGAAGGCTGAAGCACCAAGCTTTGATCTGAACTTTCCCGTTCTCATTGCATCTACATGGGACCAGCCAACTTTTTTGGGCCATCCTGGTGTCCCTGGGGCAGCCACAAGCCTGAAAGGGCTTGTTGGTTTTTCCCATTAACCATTCCTGTTGTAGGACTTGTAGAGTTGTAGAGTCTGGTGGCAAGTTAACTGCAAGTGGGAATCTGTGCTAAAGCCAAGGCAGAAAAGCATGTAGCAGTACCTGTGTGTGCAAACCTGTGCACGCAACACAGGGGTAAATGCAAGTCCGGGAGGTCTATGCAGCCTGGACAGCATATCTGTGCAAAGCAAGGAGAAACCAAGGGAGGCCCAATGTACATTCAGGTTGATTGGACACATGTTAAAGGTGCTTGTCTCCTTTCACAGGTGTGGGCTGATGCTGACCGTCGCCACGAATCTCCTCCTCTGGCTCTTAGCAGTGACCAATGACTCCATCCACAAGGAGGTTGACTCACGAACTCAAAACCGGCAGCAGAGATTTGCAGGCACGGCCCATTCTTCACTTCTTCTTAATAGCAACAGGTAGACAGGTAGGATGGGCAAAATGTAGAGTCAGCACTGGTGCTTGACCCCAAGGATTCAGTTATCTCAACCAGCCCCACTGCAAATCACCTTGACTGCACACAATGCAGACATCTCCATTTTCCTATTTTCCTGCTTTAGCTGCAGGTAAAGGCAGGCTCTCAAGACTTAGGTTTGTTGAATGAGCCATGCTTTAGCTGATGGGTAGTTTGGAACGTGCCAATTTACCTGGAGAAGTAATTAGCTGATGAACTTTAGGGACCAAGAGCAGCCCTGGGAGATCTGAACACATACAGAGGGTATGCACAGTCAATTAGAGTATGACTCCTGCCTCTCCTTCCAGAGAGAGAGAGAGATCCCCATCTGTATCTGAGTAGAAGGCTTGATTTCCCTACTCAATTAATTCATCAGGGCATGAGAGAAACCAGCTAGAACCAAGCAACAGGAGGAACCTTATAGTCTAAGTTAGAAATTTCAGCTCTATACCCAAGGAGCTTAGTGTCCTCACATGTGTGAACACTGAACAGAGGTTAGTGGATCAATCTGGGAAGGAGGATGAGTGCTCATCCTGGCTTTCCCAATGACATACTGTGTTTCCATGGAGAAGTGACTCAATCGTCATCTTGTACAAACTGGGAAACTAGTAATTACCCACATGACTGGGTGGATTCAAAGGATTTAGAATAGTTAGTGTTTGCAGGGTGCTCAGAACATGTCAAGTGCTACATATGCTCATTCGTAAGGCTCTACCATCTTGAAGGCTCAGTGCCATTCACGTGGATGTATGCCAGGCATTACATTTCCAGGGGTAGAACCTCCCTGCAGGCACCCACAAAACAAGTAAGACATTTCCTGGGTGCTCATGGCTCACCAACATCCCCTTCCCTTATTTCTTACTGCAGGCAATGAGACTATTTTATGTGTTTGCCCAAACACAACAGCCTGCGAGATCTTCCAGAGAGGCTACATCCTGCTGTACCCCTTCAACACCGAGTACTGCCTCATCTGTTGCACCATGCTGTATGTCATGTGGAAAAATGTTGGCAGGCGCATAAGCCATCAACACGCTCCCCACGTCGAGCCCAAGTTCAAGCTCCGAGGGGTCATTTTTGGGCCACTGCTGGGCACAGCTGCAGTCATCATCGGGATCTGTGTCTTCGTAATATATCAGGTCCAAGCTACTGGCTCTGCAGCTAACCGGGGGGTCTTCCTGATGTATTACTCCTACTATGTAGTGCTTCTGCCTATGATGACTGTGGGTGCCTTAGTTGGGACCATCATCCACAGTTTGGAAGCCAGGGAGCTGGACACGCTGAAAAACCCAACCCGAAGCCTTGATGTGATCCTGCTCATGGGAGCAGCCCTGGGTCAGATTGGGATGTCTTACTTCTCCATCGTAGCCATTGTGGCCACCAACCCTCGGGACCTACTGAACAGCCTCATCCTGGCCTACTCCGTCATTCTCATCATTCAGCACATCACCCAGAACATCTTCATTATTGAGGGGATTCACCGGCAGCCATGGATGGCAAACATTGATGCTGGCCATGCCAGGGCCCACAAACGAGACTCGTGTTCCCACAGTGAAGAGGGGACTACATCGAACAGCAGCCAACAGCCCACACCATCTACAGCCAACAAAGAAGCCGAAGCAAAAGAACAGGAGAGTCATGGAGATTGTGACCCCAAAAAAGATTATCCCCTAGAGATAAGGCAGGAGATCAGGAGGCTGTCACAGGCCTACATCCAGACCTACAATGACTTGAACTGGAAGAGGAAAGCGCTGAAAGAGATCTCCTTCTTCTTGATCTTGTGCAACATTATAGTAAGTATCTTTGAAGCTGCCTTCTGTACACGCCAAGCCTTGAAATGAAGAGTACGCAGACAGTTCTGACTGAGCCATACATTAAATGACACACATGCACAAACACACATTTATATGCAGACACACACTTCTTCTCTTTCCTTTAAATCATCCTTCCAGAGGAACTCAATCAACATTTTCTAGTCCAGCTAGATAAAACTCTTACACATCAGGGCTATAATAGACTTGGTTTTCCTGTTAACATCCCTCTTCCGTAATCTTAAAATCTCTTTTGTAAGCTAATGACTCCAGTTTGGCCAGCAGGCAAGGTTCTTTGAGTAGATGTAATATCTTTTATTAGGCCAACTGAGTAGTTGGGGGGAAAGTCCAGTTTGGCTGGATTTTCTGGAGGTTGGAGGAGGAAAGGGATATTTTCCGAAGGGAGGAAATGGACATTTTTCACAAAAGCAACTAAAACCTCAAGTGCCATCATTTTAAGCATATTAGAAAGTCTTAGATGCCTGATTAAATATAGGCAATTCATTGTGCAATAGGAAAGTACAGGAGATGGTACTAGGCCCTTTGAATCCAATCTCCTGTAGTAGGACTTGTCTGCAATCAAAGCTGTGTCCTATTATTACACAACTGTTACCTGAGCCTCAGCTTTAGACCACAAAGTTTGGCTCAGGCATGCCCCCCACCTCCCCAAGCTTGAAAGCATGGTTAAAACTTGTGTGGCTCCGTAAAAACTCAACCAGGCTGTAGGATAACTATGTTGCGACTCGATTCCATGGCTGGAGTAGAGACAGGATCTTGCTTATTAAATAATGCAGTCAGATAAGGGTGGATGGATGTATCCCCTCTGTCTAGGGCTACTCAGTATTAGGTAGAGGGCTTCATCACTCAAAGTCACTTTATGATCCCTCAACGCTATACGTCCGTCAGCACCAAAGGTTTCTGAGCACACCCAGTGTCAGAAACTGGCTTTGATGGACCTGCGTGATGATTTAACTGCCTCTGACCTCTTTTCTTTTTAAATACCTTTCTAGCTCTGGATCATGCCCACGTTCGGGGCACACCCTGTGTTTGAGAACGGATTGGAAAAGTCATTTTATGGTTACTCCACCTGGTTTGCCATCGTGAACTTTGGGCTACCCCTGGGTGTGTTCTACCGAATGCATTCAGTTGGGGGACTCCTCGAGGTCTACATGTCAGCCTGAACTGGGCCCAGACCTCCCTTGTCCAGTGGTGGAAGAGGACTGTAGCCACAACCAAAGGAGCCCGGTGGGAACAGAGCTACAGAAGGCTTCCAGCTCTTTTTCATTTTCAGCTTCTACTTTGGCTCCTCTGAGCACTGTTTTCTTAGGAGTTGCAGAGGCAAGGGAGCCATATCTTGTGGCTTTCAAACATGCCAGTACCAGATTTCTCCACAAGAGAACAAAATTTAAGCCGCTCTCTCGCTATTCCTGGGACACTAGCTAGCACCAGCATAATAGGAATGAGATTGAGACCATATAGTGGATGCTGTAAGTAATGGGACTTGAATCATTTCATCTGACCCCTTTGAAGGAGAGAATATAAGAGCATCAAGATGAGCAGATAGAGGGACAAGCCTGTGCTCCACAGCATGTCTGGAACCAGCTCTACCCGTTGATGCTCACCCACATGCCAGCTCTCTCGTCGTGAGACATACTAGCTTTCTCAGGAAGAGGACATAGTAGTACCTGAAACACATGCCCCAGAATCAAGCACTAATGAACAAAAAATGCTCACTTTCCACATGGGTCTGTGAAAGGATAACTGTTATAGTAGCATTCGGGGAGTATGGTGCAGTGGTTAGTGTTCTGCAGTCTGTTCCTGTTTCTTACATTCAGCGTGTGACCTTAGGCAAGTTAGTCAGGCCCTTCACATCTCAGTGCCTGTATTTTTCCATGGGAATAATACCAAATAACCCATCTATCTGACTTAATTAAGTGTTCTTACAGGCACAAGGAGATACTCAGGTAAAAGCACTAGGGAGGTACAATAATTACTATGCTACTTTGGCCGTTTGAACTTGATTGTTCTCATGCATGGCTTTTGAGTGCGTTTCTTGTTTTGGAATTAGTCTACCCTTCAGTGGAAGTGAAGCACACACCATGCATGCCATTTCAATAGCCCTAAAATAAGCTAATGCTAGACCTACTGTGAACCCCACTCTCCGTTCCCTTGCTCCTTTGCACAGTACATTGTAGCATTCATTAAGCTGAGAGCAAAAGCAAATAATGAGTTAAAATATACAGTGCAAGATCTGATCAGAGACCCAGGAGATTTTGATCAAAACAAGAAGGGCACGTGGGAATGACACGAAAAAGTGGCAGGACCGTGTGAGAGGAAGGGTCCCAAATACTAAGACTGGTGAAGACAAAAAAATTAAGCTGAACGTTCAGGTCTCAGTGCAATTGTTATTTTACTCTCTGCTCACAGAGCCCTGTGCATATAAAAATTGAAGGGCAGGTCCTGATTTTACAACCAGTCCATCTTCTGCTATCAAAATTTGTTGTGAGACTTAACCAAGGTTGATAAAGTGCAAATAGCTCTAATGTTTGTTGCTTCCACGGGATATAAATCACTTGAAAGGGCTGCTGGGTTATGATCAGAGCTTAGTTCTCTCACGTAGCTGCACCCTTGTGTGAAAGCAAAACTCCCTACAAGCAGAAGATAAGAGTGCAGATAGCTATAGCCTGCGGGCCGCTTCTCCAAAACCCTCACACAGATGTCTGAGAGGGGTACAGTGACGGCCATTCCCCATCCCCAACCCCCCCCACCTCCAATTTTCATCAGAAATTAAAAGCAAGCAAGACCAAGTGAGCATGGACTTTGCCTCGTGAATACTTTTACACTCACCCTTATGTCAACAAGAACTGTCAGGAGGAATTACAACTGGATAAATCAGGCCCCAGTAGTTAATTATTACTCCCATTTCACAGTTTGTACCAGAAATCCACCAGAAGGAACTCACCGAGGTCGAGCTTGTCAAGTGAAGTGAGAACTCAAACCTCTTCTGTGATTTCCAACAGATGCTGGGCAACGAGGGATGGGCATGGGGAAGAGAAAGATCCCTTGTGTTTAATCAGCTGCATCATGGCCAAGGTTATGCTTGAGCTGATAGGACCCAAGTGATCAGGGAGCTGATTCCCGAGATGTACATACTAACACTATCTATAGGCATGATATACACTGGTGCTTTCTGAGTTATAGTCTCTTGTTGGAACATTATGAACCACCTGTCAGGTCCGATCAGTGATGAACAGGCCAGCAGTCGATCAGCTGTAGGACACAGGAACTGCCTGAGCAGAGTGGACTAATGGTCCCTCTAGCTACCTTGTTCTGTCTCTGACGATGGCCAACATCAGCTGCAAGAAACTCTATAATAGTTCATTCTGGAATGGCCTGTCAAACGAGGAAGCTACCTGCCTCCAGTTACAGAAAAGTTTATGCCCTGATGCATAAGAGTTTAAAATACCTCTTGCATGACACAGAATCCCAAGAACAAAGGCTGGATGTTTTCAATATTTATATCAGCATTTAACCCTTTCTTTTAAGATCTTGGGCTCAGCCAGATCCGCATAAGTGTCCATTGCCTGCAGGACTACAGCAAAGGAACAGGATGCACAGGTCACACAAGTCTTCCAGTGACAGTCTGGTGGAAAGCCAGTTGGTACAAAGGAATCCTGGACAGCATAAATCACCCCAGGAGTCACACAAACAAGACCATAAATTCTCTCTGGGACAAACAGTCAAAGCATGTGCCATGTTTCAGATTATCTTTATCTCTTTGAATGTAAGCAAATAGTTTACAGTGCAATTCGATTTTCGTGGAACAAAGACTGAAAACACCAAAAAACGAAAGATTCCAGGGAAACTCGCAAAGAAAACAAAAGGGGGGGCGGAAAGGATAGAAGATACCACAAAACCAGGGAAGGCCGGGTGGGGAGAGAAGCCAGTGTCTAGGACATAAGGGCCCTCTCCAGCTGAGACGTGTGAGTGCAGTACAATCAGGGGCTGGCCCATCACCAAGGGCACCACCCAATCACATTCTTAAGACAAGAAATATTCCAAGCAAAATATAGACTTCAATCTGTGAATGTCTTTATACAGGTGGAGGCGGGGTGTGGGGGGTGAAAGGTGGCAAAATGGATGAGGCATGGGGAGAGGAAATGCTCTCTTCCTTATCCAGCCTTTGTTCTTCAATGGTCTTCCAGGCTACACTTCAGGGGGCTGAACTGGGCAGGGGGCTTTAGTCCACCTTCAGCACCCAAACAGCGAGAGGGGTTCACTACTAGGTCAGCGGGCTGCTTGTATGAAAGCAGGACTCTCTACAGAAGAAAAGCAATACGGCTGCTTGTGCAATACTCAGGCCTTCACACACGGGTTGGGGGGAAAGGGGAGAAGAACAAGGGAGCTGCTCTAACACACCTGCCCCCATATTTATGGATAGTGCAGTCTGCAACCTGCACTTCATCCATTTTGTGAGCTAGGAGCTGATCCCCTTTGACCCTTCAAAGTTCAGGCTCCTCATTACCGCACTTGGGCTCCAAAGCAAGCCAGCTTTCTTGAATACAGAACCCATCCGGGTGCCTGGAAGAATTTAGCTTTACCCCAGAGTCCCTCCTGCCTAGTTGCAACCATTTTCATCATGCCTTCAACATGCTTCTTGGGATGTCCCCAAGACCCTCCCTCAATGCCTGGCACTGAAAAAGCAGTGGACAACCCACCCCTTCCACCCTTCTCCAAATGCCCTCCATTGTGACAACCTGCCCGCTCAGTAACGACACAACTCCTTCCAAATCCAAACAAACCAGCTCATCAATCAATTGGAGAAGGATGAAGGAGGGCAACACATACTTATTTTTTCTCCTTGTCAGGCTCAGCTCCCCTAGGCTAGCCCTTCCCTCCCAGCCTTTGCCCTGATTCTCCATGATTGCACACAGCTTTCCAAGGGGCTGTAAAACACATACATCCCACCCTGTTCACTGCAACAGTCCACCTGCAAAGCCAGAGTAACATTCCTGGTCTGCAAATCTCTGAGGCAGTGACAAGGTGGGGAAGGAAGAAGGAGAGTAGATCTTGTTATTGCACTGAAGCATCACCTGCTACAAGAACCTAACACTAGTTTCCAAAGGAGGGGAAGAAAGGAGGGGTTTAAAATAGAGACCAGGACAAAGTGGATCTCCTTCAGCATTCCCTTTTCATTAAATAAAGATCCCCCCAACTGTACAGAGTGAAGCAAGACAGAAGCAAGTACAGAGTGAAGCAAGACAGCAGCAAGAAGACCTGCAACCTGATGGGTGTTAGAACCAATTCTTTGGGAAAAGAACCACACAAAACCCCTCTGTATGTCTAACACTCCCCTCCTGCAGTAGTAGCAGTTTCCCTCCATGACTCAGTTTAACTCTTTCTATGGAGTCTTTTTGATTATATGCTGAATCTGGCTGGGACATGACCAAGCAGAGAAGCTCTTAAGCTGTGGCTGATATGGCTCAGATTGGTCTCCAAACCAAAGCCAGGAGTGAGAGGACAGAAGAGCTATGAATGGTCTGATTTCTAGTGCAACAACGCAAGGGACAGTCTTTAGGCATCTCTCACTCAAGGTTGCTAGGGAAGGAGGGGGAAGGAGTGAGCAAGGGGATAAGGATCTGCTCACAGGTCCTCCTTAAAGCTTAAAATGATATGT